TGCCTGTAGTTCCACTACTCGGAAGGCTGAGGCGGGAGGATCGCCAGAGCCCAGCAGGTCAAGGCTGCGGTGGCCGGGAGCGGCCACTGCACTCCAGTCTGGGCGACAGAGTGAGACTCCAACTCAAACAAACAAACAAACAAACAAACAAACAAAAAATAGTCATGAAACTGGCTCATGAGAGTCCCACTAAGATCCCTTCACTCACTTCCAAAGTGGCAAAAAATGAGGTCAGAGGAAGGATGGAGACATGTCACAGTTGGTAGAACAAAACTGTGCTTTTGAAAACAGTGTCAGCTGGACTCGGTGGCTCAGCCTGTAATCCCACGCCTTTGGGAGGCTGAGGTGAGGGAATTGCCCGAGCCCGCGGGTTCGAGACCCGCCTGGGCAGCGAGACTCCATCTCTACAACAAATCAAAAATCAGCCGGGCATGGTAGTATGCACCTGTAATTCCGGCTACTCGGAAGGCTGAAGTGGAAGGATCGCCAGAGCCCAGTGGGTAGAGGCTGCGGTGGAGCGGCCACTGCACTCCAGTCTGGGCGACGGAGTGAAACTCCAACTCAAAAAAATTTTAAAAATTTAAAAAAAAGAAAACAGTGTCATTAAAAGATACCTAGAAACAAATGAAAATGAAGAAGAAAATAGTGTCTCCAGGAGAAGTTACAAATCCAGAATTGCCTGATTGGACCCTCAGTTGGAAAGTCTGCCCACGAGTTACAAAACCAATCAACATTAGCAGCAAGCACATCAAGCATTAAACAAGACCCATGAGCCCAACAAGAGGTAAAAAAAAGAAAACATTAAACAAGAAGGCTACTCAAGTTATCCTTGAAACTTCATGGGAAAAAAGCACCAATTTTATCAGCCACAAAGTATCTGACAGTCACATTTGGTCATTTTTTTTTTAAATTATTTTTAGCGCTGGGCTCGGTGGCTCAGCCTGTAATCCCGCGCCTTTGGGAGGCTGAGGTGAGTGGATTGCCTGAGCCCGCGGGTTCGAGACCCGCCTGGGCAGCAAGATCTCATCTCTACAATAAATCAAAAAATCAGCCGGGCAAGGTAGCGCATGCCTGTAATTCCGGCTACTTGGAAGGCTGAGGGGGAAGGATCGCTGGAGCCCAGCAGGTCGAGGCTGCGGTGGCCAGGAGTGGCCACTGCACTCCAGTTTGGGCGACAGAGTGAGACTCCAACTCAAAAAAAAAAAAAAAAAAAATTATTTTTAAGGTAGAGATTACCTTTTCTGTTAAGCTGTTTCTTTCCAAATCTTTGAGCCTGGAGGAAGAAAATAGGGGAGAAAGAAAGAAATGGTTGTTAAGTAATGTTTATCTGTAAGAATTAATATTACAGTTCTAAAGTTTTGGAAATAAGTTTAATATTTATAAGTGTTAGGAAAAAATATGGTGGCTTTTATCTTCCTCCAGTGGTTAGAATGTCCTATTGTAATGCCGACACATTAAGAAGTCATCTGTGAGGCCGGTGTGGTGGCTCAAGCCTGTAATCCTAGCACTTTGGGAGGAACAGGCGAGAGGATTGCCTGAGTTCAAGGGTTCAAGACCAGCCTGGGCAACTTTGTAAGACCTCATCTCTACAGTAAATGAAATAAAACAAAATAAAAAAATAAGCCGGGCATGGTGGTGCATGCTTGTAGTTCCACCTACTTGGAAGGCTAAGAATGAAGGATCGCCTGAGCCCAGCAGGCCAAGGCTGTGGTGGCCGTGAGCATGCCACTGCACTCTAGCCTGGGTGACAGAGTGAGACTCCAACTCAAAAACAAAAACAAAAAAAAGGTATCTGTGATCTGAACAGATGGCCCCATTGGGGGCCATTTTTCTGATGATGATGATGATAAGGTGTATGTATATATATATATATATATATATATATATATATATATATATATATATGGCCCCTACTTCTGATGATATAAGGAGCTCTATAATAGAATATATTGTATTTCAGCCAGGTACGGAGGCGCACAACTGAAATCCCAGCACTTTAAGAGGCCAAGGCAAAAGGATCACTTGAGCCCAGGAGTTCGGGACCAGACCAGCCTAGGCAATACAGCAAGACTTTGTCTCTCCAAAAACATTTTTTTTTAATTAGCCAAGCGTGGTGGCATGCCTGTAGTCCCAGCTATTTTGGAGGCTGAGATGGAAGGATCAGCTGAGCCCAGGAAGTACAGGCTGTGGTGAGTCATGATCACACCACAGCATTCCAGCCTGGGTGACAGAATGAGACCCCAAGGGGAAAAAAAAAAAAAGATATACTTTATTTCAAAAGGTTACCAGGAAAGGGGAAACAGGTCACACAGTTGGGGTCCTTCTGTAAGCTAAATGTTCTACAGGGTCTTTCTCCAGTTGGGTCTGACAAGAGCCCATTGTAACAGGGTGCCACAGCGTGACCGGTATCAGAATGAGTAGTCCAAGACCACAGAACACTGTGAGGTACTGGCTGCTGGGATTCCCAAAGGCCAGGCTGGGGTGGCAACATTCCAGTGAGGATAAAACAGGGGAGTCAAGGCATCATGGGCAGCAGCGGGTGCCCACACACAGGGGAAAAAGAAATGAAGTTAGAAAAGTTAGAAAGCTGGCTGGCACTTCCCTAAAGAACTCATCCTTAGCCGGGTTCGGTGGCTCAGCCTGTAATCCCGCGCCTTTGAGAGGCTGAGGTGAGTGGATTGCCTGAGCCCATGAGTTTGAGACCCGCCTGGGCAGGCGAGACCTCACCTCTACAATAAATCAAAAAATTAGCAGGGCGTGGTAGCGCACGCCTGTAGTTCCAGCTACTTGGAAGGCTAAGGCGGAAGGATCGCCGGAGCCCAGCAGGTCAAGACTGCGGTGGCCGGGAGCACCACTGCATTCCAGTCTGGGCGACAGAGTGAGACTCCAACTCAAAAAAAAAAAAAAAAGAAAAAAGAACTCATCCTTCAGAATGTTTGTACTTAATTGTTCAAAAATGTAGAACTGTCATGGGTTTGCCTGAAAAATCATGGTCTGATTAGATTATTGAAGATTAAGAGGAACAGGAAAAAAGAATAAGGAACAATAGCCAGACATGGTGGTACACCTGTAGTTTCAGCTGTCTGGGAGGCCAAAGCAGGAGGATTGCTTGAGCCTAGTTCAGTCTAGCCTGGGCAACACAGCAAGACCCTGCTTCTTTAAAAAAAAAAACAAAAAAACAAGGAGAGAAGACACCAAGGAAGGGAGGAGGGAGATGCTGCTGCTCCTAGTCCGGTGCTGACTGCAGACAGTGGGGTGAGAACAGGTCTAACCAGCCGGGTAAGTGTCTGTAAAGTGTTGAGGGAGGGAGGACACCAAGCAGGGCCCTGCCTCTGCTATCTCTGGACCTTCCCACCCAGCACCCACACAGACAAGAGGCACACTAAGCACCAGCCCAAAGGAAGCTCTTCCAAACTGCCTTTGTAGGGGGCAAGGCAAGTATAAGCAGCAGGGCCTGGAACGTGAATGACAGGCTTTGCAGGACCAACGTCATGCAGTGTGCTGCTCCTGGCACACATGGACCCTGTTTCCTACTTCAAGTGCCTCTCCTCTCTGTGGCGCTTACTGCATGCCAGACCCTGCTCTGTTCCAGGCAATCAGCTTGGTGACTGACATGGGCGCCACCAGCCAGGGCCCCCTTGATGTGCTGGGTAGTCAGGAAAAGCCTTGAAGAAGAGAAGCCTAGCAGACACAGTGGCAATATGGACTGTATATCACACGTACTGCATGACATGACTCAAGAAGCCTTGGAATCCAGTTCTCCAGGAGCACAGGGCCCCTTCCTGGCAAAAGGCATTCCACCCGCCCCTACCACAGTAGGAGAGCCTTAAGTGAGGACAGCGGAGGGCGTTGGCACCCTGCCAGGGGCATTCATGCTCCTGCAGCTGCATGTCCCCTGAGTTATTATTTCGCTCATGATGCTGGCCAGTCACAGCACCCACCCACGAGCTGGGCAGTCCCTTGATCCTGAAGCTACCTCAGGTATGAAGAACAAGGCTCTGATGGAGCCCACTGAGGTGCCCTCTGCAGAGTGAAGACACCCCCTACAGCTGGTCTGTAGGTCTGTGGGTCTGAATTCTCTTAACCCTTCATAGGAACTGGGGTATTTAGCCTAGCCAAGAGAAAGACAAACCTTCTGAATATCTAGAATGCCTTGCCCAGCAAAGACCAGCTTTAACCTCCCTGGCCACAGTGGAAGGTGGGAGCCTGGACAGGCACCAAGAAATTGGCAGGAAGGAGGTCCCCAGGGAAACTATGATGACACCACCTCATACCTGCTGAGACCAAGAGGGTCAGAGTGAACATAAGGGCCTCCAGAGAACTCAGAACACAACCTGAGCCCCTAGCCTAAGACATGTGACTCATTCCTAGTAGGCTGCCACAGAGATTAGTCATAAAAGGGAGATAGGTATATATTAACAACCACAAAGGAGTAAGGCCAATATCATGATAGCCCGAGAACTTCCCAAGAGAAAGGGTAGACATAGTTTCTGAAAGGAGGGAAGGGGGAGTGGGGAGCGCCATGTAAACTGAGCAGAGGAAGCTGCCCAAGCAGGAGCAGCACATGGGGACACGGCTCTAGGAACACCAAAGGAATAACCATGAAACCAGCCGACAGGATGGGAAAGGCATGTCCAGAGAGGGGAGGCCAGTGAAGGTCTGGGGGAATTCAGGAACATCAGGCTTAAAGTTAGTTTTGCTCCATAGTTAACAAAACATCAAGGGAGTCGAGGGGAGGTGGAACTCATGACATCAGAGCCACGCTAGAGAGAAATTAATCTGGCAGAAATATGTAACATAGATTGGATAGGAAGAGATAACAAAATGTTAAACTACTCCAATATCCCTACTAAACCAGAAATGCTTTCCTGAAATAGACAGCTCGAGCTAGAGAAGTTACAAGGCTCTGTTAACTCAGTTCTTAAGGCTGGCTGCATGGTGGATGGGGCAGGGATCCCCAAGATGGCAACTTAAGTAGGTAAAGTAACAGATCCCCCTTAAGATGTCCACACCCTAATCCCCAGAACCCTATGTGGCTAAAGAGACTTTGCAGATGTGACTCCAGCTACAGCCCTTGTGATGGGAAGATTATCCGGGATTATCCTGGAGCGCCCAGTCTAATCACTTGAGTGCTTAAGGTCACAGAACCTTCCAGCTGCATTTCGAGGAAGAGACCCAACCACAATTACAGAGGGCATCAGGGGAGAAGCAAGGACAGGACCTGTAGCTGCCAGCTTTGAAGGTGGAGGAAGCAGGAGAAAGGCATGTCAAAGTTGATAGGCCAAGAGAGGTCCCTTGTCCCAAACAACCCACTTGCATTTGAGAATACAAAAGAAAAGTTCTTAAAGGAAACTAAGTGAGCACATGCATGATAAGAAAGCAGAACAGCCTTCTTGCTGATAGGAAGAAAGTCCTGAGTTGTCTGAATGGAAGATCAGACCAGCCACAACATTCCCTCAAGCCAGAGCCTAACTAAGAGCAAAGCCCTTGCTCTCTTCAATTTTGTGAAGGCTGAGAGACATGAGGATGCTGCAGAAGAAAAGTGTGAAGCCAGCGAGGTTAGCTCACCAGGTTAAAGAAGTAAGTCATCTCCATGACATAAAAACACAAGGCAATAGCCGGGTTCGGTGGCTCAGCCTGTAATCCCACGCTTTGGGAGGCTGAGGGGAGTGGATTGCCTGGGCCCGCGGGTTCGAGACCCGCCTGGGCAACTTGGTGAGACCTCATCTCCACAATAAATCA